CACTCATATCCTCAATTGATTGTGAATTATGCCGTCCTGATTGTCCATCTCACTGTACACGCGAATCGAATCACCCCGTCAAGCCAAGTATTCACCTTTGTTGTCATCCTCTTTTCAGTTCACAGAGAAAAAACACGATACACTAGTCGTGGATCAGACGACAGATACCAGTTCCCCTGTGTTCCCCCTGACCCCGAATCCCTTGTGTCACTAGCTAACTACCTCTGCTCGCCCAGTTGCGTTGTGCACATGCGTGCGTGCGTGCTTGTGCGTGTGTGTGTGTGTGTGTGGCTCCACGATCCAGATTCATTATTGTTGTGTTTTCTGCGTGCGTGCGTGCGTGCGTGCTTGTGCGTTTCGCATTCATTCACGTGCTCGTTCACCATTTGGCGTCCCCGTTGCGTAGGCGTTGGTATAGCCTTAATTCAATTCATTTCACTCCGCTCCATCTCACCCAACCAAGACCCTCAATAACAATCTTGTGTCGATGACACTGACCTTGTCCCCCCCCCTCCCGATACGGGCATATCATGAACTGTTTGACAACAAAATGCACACACACACACACACACATGCACCAATACTTACGTAATAAAGCCACACAAAAATCTACCGACTGTCTGTCGCCAAAACAGCCATGTATGCTTACTGCAAACATTTGTTTTTTGTATGCGTGTGTGCGTGCCACAGTATACGTGTGTGTAAGTGTACCCACAATAAAACCTGAAATTCCATTTGTCCCTGCTGCTGTTCCTCTATTGGTTCACAAAGTCCGGATATCTTTAGTTTGTGTGAATATTGGTCCGAGAATTGCGATCAACACTTACATTTCATTCAGCGCAGACAGGGTCACTATGTAGGCTAAATTCCGAGTCCCCGTGTGAAATCCACTCGTGGTACATGCTTGGAATTATCGTTTGACATCAATAAGGCACAATGCGTGATCCACTACCTCCCCCACCCCGCTCTGTGCATTCGTTTCGCTGTGTGGAGGGGGGGGGGGGGGNGGTGGAACAGAACGGAGGCAACCTCACTCTGTGTTGCTTTTACAATGAACTTATTCCCTTACTTGTCTCCATTCCTGTAAAAACAGATACCGTTCGGTATGTGTGCAAACGTGTTTCGATTTTGTATCTTTCCATTTTTGGTAATTCTCGGTTTGTTTTATCTCTATCTCTCGCACGCTCGTACACGTATCCCGGGGTTCTCAAAATGTGCGTTTACCGGGCTGTGAACTTCCCATTGTAATACCACTTCAAAATGAATGATTTATTAACTCTGACGCATCCGTGTTCTCTGTTCGGGACAATTTACTTATCAGGTGTACTTATAGAATCGATCTAACTCTGGAAGAAGGCCTAGTTTTTCAGACCCACTCATTCCATTTTCATTCCTCCGTTCACACGTCAACATGTCATTTGTAGATAGTTTAAATTGTTGTTTGGCAGATTTGAAGTTTGTGTCGAGATTGTGAAAAGTTCAGTAGCCTCGGTGGGATTCGAACCCAAGCATGGACGCCGCCTAGGTTTTTGTATAGCGCACGCTCTACCAGCTGAATGAGCTACGAGGCCACGCCGATAGTACTGATCTTTTCACATTTGAATCATCCATCCGACTAACAGAGGTATATGGCATCCACCGGTTAGCATGTAAGCTGACTACCTTGACAGGTTTTCCTTCGAATTCACCGGAGTCCACCAAATGAGTTTCTAAGGCAAGATTAATTGTTCCAATTGTTGTTTGACAAATTTGAAGTTTGTAGATAGATTGCAGTTGAGGCTAAATGTGCGTTCACTGTGCCTCGATGTGATAATAAGTGACGGTAGAACGGGAGGCAAACAGTCAACTGTAACACTACCACCCACTCCCCGTGGCACACAAACTATCTGCATCAGGTTCGTTTTGCGCTTGCTTACAGCTTTCGTTTTGGTCATTCGGATGTTCGGCAAGGAGTATTTTAAATCGGTATATTCTCGTCGGATAGACATCAACTATTCGGTAGAGATTACGTTTCTCCGCTCTCAATTCGTGGCGTATTTTAGTCGTTTTCCCTGTTCAAAGAACGCAGATACAACAACCAAGTCCCAGTTTTGCTTTTTTTGATTTTTGAACTGAGCCTTCACTGCGTTTGCACAAAAGCGAAACAAAAATTTGTTGCATTCTGACCTGCTGCGTTGACTTTCCCCAATTGCTGAGCACCAGTTTTCCACTTGTTTATCTATTGTACGAAACGGTGTGCAAAGCTTGTATCTATTTATCACAATCACCTACCAAATTCGTTGCGAATCAAGCCGTTTCGTCATTCATTCTCTACCGCATTTGTACCAATTTGCCGCTGAATCGATAAAATGTTCCATGGATTGCATTGTATTGAACTAGTTTCCCCTTTGCAAATCAAAAGTTTGAATTGGTATCTCTGATGTGAATCAGACGCATTGATTGTTTTTGCCTATTGAGTGCCTATCGAACAAACAGATTTCATGTTAGATTGCTTTTGAATAAAGCACGTGACCGTGGGGAGAAGACGATGCACAAGCTTTGTCATGTTTGATCGATCTACATATATACATCGTAGTTGTCATCGGATGGGCACTATTTTGATGACGCAACAGTTTGAACCAGCTTATGCTATTCTGTGGCATTATTACTGTCACGTTGCCCGTGGAGGTTTACAGCCAGTTTGTAGGGTTAATCCGATCCTAACTGGTAAGATGACCAAACGGGGTCTGAAGATAACTATCCATTTCGAATAAATGTCTTGTCCGATCGAATTACACACCCTTTGCTCGTTGTTTGCGCACGTACATCGTCAAGTAGACCCTCTCATATAGCTTTCGTCACCTTCATGTTTGGTCGAAGCCATTTGGCATGTCTTTTCTGGGGCAAAGGTTTCAAACGAAGCACAAGAGCCGAGATTCCATCCTACCTGAGTGTTTTATGCCAGCTTGTTAAATTGATCATACTCTTGTTACATCAAAACCGTGACTGATTAAACAAATAGAGAAAAATTAAAGCGTCTAATTGCGACGCAAATGTTTGTGTGATGACCGACACAAAGAGCACTCATTGGACAGCTGTTTCGTCCTGTTTGAGACTGGTCAATAGTGCGCAGTTTTTGCGTGCCCCTATCACGACTCGAACCACGAGCCCAAAACTATCTAGATTACCTGGTGCCTTTCCAGTTTAACGTCACAATCAACTGTGATCTCTCACATTGTCCGCACTAGTGCGTTCAAGCCGGAGCCGGGGCCCCGGGGGAGGGGAGGGGTGTGTCTGGTGATCCTAGCTCACGGGATGACGCAAACAACGGGGCGACACGTTTCCGGACAGATGTGATGGGTCAAGCTCCCCAAGTGATGACAACAAAGCGCCTACGCCTTACAGCTTCTAGACTAAGAAACATAGACCGATTGTACCTAGCCATCAGAAGCCGTGTGGCCCAGACGGAAGCTACACCCTACCAAGAATACGAGCACGCGATTGGTAGATGCCTGGATAACCAATGAACTACCTTTGTACATATTATTTACAAATTTTGCTATCTGGGCAGCTATATCTCACCTGGTAGATGCATCACAGATGAAGTGTCGGCGCGGATACGGAAGGCTCGGTTGGCACTTCCCAACTTGAGACATTTGTGGCGCCGTCGTGACATCCGGCTGTCTATGAAGGGTTGAGTGTATGCTGCAGTAGTTCGACCAGTCCTGCTCTACGATGCAGAAACTTGACCTTTACGGGAACAGGAAAAAAATTAGTTATCAATGTTCGAACACCGCTGTCTACGTCGCATTGTACGAGTCTGGTGGGGTAGCCGGACGAGCAATGCTGAGGTTAGACTTAGAGTTTTAGGCAAGTGAGCGACCTGCATAGATTACGTTGGTCGGGGCATGTGCTACGTATGTCACCAGATAGGTTGCCACGGCGAGTAATGTTTGCCAAGGCTGGCAGCGGTTGGAAAAAGATCAAGGGCGGTCAAGCTAAGACCTGGCATGAGGGTCTGAATACCCTAACTAGGAGACTGGGTCACATAAACCCCGTTAGACTCCCTGGCTGGGGATCTCGGGATGATGGTCACCGTTGGTTAGCTACACTGAGTGATATGGCAGGGTGGCTGGGGACCTCGGGATGATGGTCACCGATGGTTAGCTACACTGAGTGATATGGCTGGGTGTCGTAAACAGTGGGGTTCGTCCGTCCACTCATTATTCCCCTATCACTATTCTATATAAATTCTCCATCTTCCGCTCGGATTTGCTTTCAACATTCCAATCTACATTCTGTTATTTTATCCAAATGGGCAAACAAAAGACAGCAATCAAAACCGGCGCACGAAAGTGCAAGGGTAATGATTGTACAAACTGAAACTGAAACTGTACATATTACTTAAACCCTTTGATTTCTTCCAGTAAAGGAACTGCTACTTATTCTGTGTTTTCCTTTTGTCTCGGTTACGTGGGATACCGCCGGGTAAGTGCCAGAATGATTTGGTGCTTACGGTAATTCGTAATCCGCAGTATGTGCGTCTTCAGCTACTACAGGTTGGGGGGGGAGTACCGTCTATGTCGACTACCCGACAAACAGGTGGTGATAAACTAGTTTGATCCTTTCTCAGCACCTCGTAACAAACCAAACCATGGATCTACCGTACCTTTTCAACCTCAAGCGAATCCGTTGTACCTTCAAGTGAATCCAACCAATCGCACTCCTTCGGGAATCCCACAAGATGATTGGTGGTTCGGCCGTCAAATGTTACCGATTGGGCCGGGTCTGTCTAAACCCCATCTAGTTCGAATGAACTCACTTCCCCGTAAACAAACAAAAGTACATTTTTAGTCAGTTACCGAGCGAGGATGAATGTTTCGGTGGGGTAAGGTGGGCCGTTCTCACCCCACCCCACCCTCCACCTCCACACACGTTCCACTCGGGAACGTTATGTCTGTGATTGTTGATCGAGTGTGCATCATAGATACGAATGAACGAACCCGGAGTTAATTGACCTCTGTCAGTCCGGCAAATCACGTCAAGATGGATCGATAAGTCGGTCACCATGCCCAGACGTGAATGTGAGCATGAGTGGAGTCAGCGTAAGCCCTCAATAACCCAGTTGGTAAATTCCGTTGAGGCCGAGATTCTCTCGAATAAAACCGATTCCTTTGAATCAAACACGATTGTTTACGTATTTCTGACATTTAAATGCATACTTGACAAGATAAC